ATTGATAATCTCATTCTTATTGGGGTATGATCTATTAATGATTTGTTGCAGCACTCTGGCTGTTGTATGATCTTGGGCGACCTCCATAGTTGGGACCGCCCTGAAATTCGTTTCTCTGGCTGGTAATTACCCCTTCTCACTCGGCCAAGATGGGAATTACTCTTAATATATTGTGGTCTAGAATTACTTCTTTGAAATTGTTGTCTGTTATGATTTTCTGACGCTTTGTTAAAGAGCTTGTTAGTGGAATTCTCTTTCTCAATAATAGGTCCAAGCTCCTCCCCAAACACTTCATCCCTGTTCAACGGGGGTGTGTAATTGGGAGAAATAACCTTAAGTGACTGCTGTCTTCTGAGCTCATTCGTATATGATAATGAATTCAACAGAAGGGCTCTTGTATCCTTGAGAGCTGTTTCAATAAATTCTCATGCCCGAAGAGCTTCGGCATCATTATTGGGTTTGGTGTCATAAATTGATCTAAGTGTGTTGTCAAGCAGTTGAAGTGTAGCAGAAGAGCGGTAAGCAATCTTTGCAAGCAATTTGTCTGTTTCTTTGGCCTGTGAGGACATAAGTTTCCAAATTAGTTTGTTCATAGTGGAAGCTTCATATTTGATCTCAGAGTTACGTGGTTGGTTCTTAAGTATCTCAGTTCTTGTATTTTTTGATAATAAATTATCTTTATGTATCCTGGTGGGGAGGTAATGCATTTCTCCTGTAGGAAACCAGATGTTACCGTCCACGTGGTCTTGGTCTTGATCATCATCTGACTGTGCAAGATCATCGTCCGAGTGGTGAGGTTCGTTTGAATGACGCAGTTTGCTGGAACGATGTGGTTCGTTGGAATGATGCAGTTCATTAGATTCCAAATTTCCGTCTGGCTGCATAACGACTGAAGTTTTATTAATGTTGTCTTAGTTAGCTGCCAAAATAAAACGGCCTAGAGAAAGAGTCAACCAGATGAAATACTATATATATATAAAAAAAAAAAATGTGTAACATGTCTATGTATTGTACTACATTCTCTAAAATTGGTATCTGCTGCTAATAAAATGGCTATACTACACGTGATATTATATATCAATGCGAGTGAAATGCATTTGCCCATATTCGAAGGGGTCTCACATTACCTGGTAATGTTAGTTTTTCATATTCTTTTTACCATTTGATTCGTTGAAGCTCTGGCAACCTACTTGTTTTAAGAAACATTATATGTTGTAACTAAGACTTGGGGAGAAAATTTCAAAAACGTGATTTTGTAATTTGTGTAATTTATGAAAATCATATGATAAAAAATTAGGTATGACATCTCGATTGACTGATATTAACCTAAATTACGGGTCAAATTCCTCTACAATTCCCACATATAACTTTATGATCTCTCATTAAATCACTACATATCAACATATATGTAATGTTTCTTCGTTAATACCATTAGCCAATAAAATTTTAAAATCATGAGCCATATGACATATGAAATTACGAGAAAATATAACTTTACTATTAATAATTAGGATCGTTGCATGCTTAAACTAGGAACGTAGTATTTATTATTAGACTCGTATTGAGGGATTGAAGGTCTAAGTGTAATGACGAACTTTCTAATATTTGTAAAAACAGTATCATGCTGCCTATTTTAAAGTATTATTTGCCTTGTCAAATTGATAAAACTTGCGAATCTCTTGCAATATAAGTAGGAATTAGTGCTTCGAAAGGGTTGATTTAGTTCGGATGATCTGAACTAAATACCTGAACCCAAAGTTGTCCGCACCAACCTGAATCAAATAAATCAATAAAATTTAAATGATTTTTTAATTCAAATCAAAATTATATCAACTTGAATCAATAAATATTTAATGTTAAATGATTTTTTTAGTTTCAATCAATTACGTCAACTTGCATCAATAAATATTTAAATGATTTTTTTTTTAATTTTGTTATTTCTTTCATTCAAAATTAAACAAACCTTTTGTTAATAATGTCATCAACTGAATCAACTCAAATTAAACCTGATTCCACCGCTTCTAATATAGTTGAATCTCAACCACTTACTTCTATAATAACCAATGCCAATACGATTACTTCAACATCTTTTCAAAATAGACGACATTGTAGACTTTTTCTGAAGACTTACTTAGAGAAGAAAAACTCTCACCTGAGAATAATTGTGACAGAACTTTAATTGATTATATTAAAGACAATTTTTTTTCGATTTTTAATAATTATATGTCATCTGTATGTGAAGCTGATAAATATGATCAAGAGAATTATATCAATAATAATGAGTCCAGTTATAATGAGTTTGATAATCTTTTAGATTATATTTACAGCAAAAAACAAAAACTGGACTGGAAACATGAAGTAGAAGTATACTTGAAGGCTCCTCGAGCAAAACGTAAGCAAGATATTCTTCATTGGTGGAAAATGCATGAAAGCGAATACCCAAATTTAGCTATTATGGCTAGAGACTATCTGGCAATGACAGCAACTAGTATACCAGTAGAGAGAATTTTTTCTGAGGGAGCTGATCTAGTTGTTTCAAAAAGATGTAGTCTTGAACCAAATACTATTCGTGCATGCATGTGTTTGAGATCCTGGTGGGCATAACTTAGTATAAAAATAGTATACATTAACAGTCACATGATTTGTCATGCAGATCAGGGGTAAATTTTTTACTATGTAATTTGAGTGATCGACATTCATATGATCAGCTTATTTTACATAGTAAATTGCAACG